TTTTGCAAAATTTATATATATGATATATACCTAAGTATGGTTTCAAAATATTTGCAAATGGTTTTAATTCCCGGGACTGTTCCTTGCAGCTAAGGGAGAGGTCCTCTATTGTCGGGCAGTGCTTGATCATTATGGGCTGAGAGGTTAAGTGTAAGGCCATTTGGGATAATACCTGATGGGCTAATCTTGCACCTACCCACAKTCCCTGGGATTTTATAAGATGGCTTGGCCCATGGACCACTTGGTGTAAGTGTTGGGCCCATAGGGTCCATGTGATGGGCTCAGGGGGTTCACTGGTCTCTCCAATGAATACAGCTGGGCCTTGTAACAGAGGCTGGGCCAAACCCATGTGACTGGTGATTAGATCAATGCTTAGGTCCCACACCATACAAAGAAGCCCAACTGGGCAACAGTTTGGAAGACTTTTGAGCACTTGATTCTTATTGGGCCTAAAGCCCATTTCGAACTGGGCTGATTTGATCAGTCATTAACAGGGGGCAGATCTGAGATTAGGATGAGCCCAAAAACTTATCTAATCTACAAATAAGATTAAGAAGAGTCCTAATCCAAATACAGATTTGGATAAGGGCAACTCCTGATATGATTAGGAGGTTTTCTTAATCATTAAGCAACTAGAGGAAACCCTAATTTGAATTACAAGAATTCGAACCCTAGGGATTTCGCGGAACACTCTGCAATTTTGAGATAGGATCTCAGAAACCCTAGAGAAGAAAAAGCAGTTCGCCATCTTCTTCTCTAGCCTTCTCCTTCAGTGGCCGCCACCATTTACTGCAGTTCGATTTCTCTGTGAGAGAAAAGATGAGTTCTTGATATCAATCTTTGCTGAAAGGCTGATTCAGTTCGGTGCTCGTTGTCTCCAAAGGATTCTTGTGAAGGATTCAGTGTGTAGGACGCACTCTGCTGGTTTTATTCCACAGTTGTTGTGTCATCTTAGGCAGGAGCAAATCTTGGTGTCTTTTTTGGGCGTGAACACCAACTATGGAAGATATTATTTCTCTAGATCAGGTATAATCACTCCCTTCTCTTTTGGTTCAGATCTGGTTCGATTCTGGTTCAAGTAGGATCCTTGAATCTTGATTCTAAAATCAGGGAATGTGATTCCCAGTTGGAAGGTAGGTAGGAAATTTTTGAAATTCGCCCACCCATTCCGCAACAGTTTTGGCGTCCATACGATGGATTCTACCATCCCTTTCAGAGAAAGCTAAAGAGTTAGGGATTTAACAGGTTGGTTATTGAAGAGGACTCAAAAGTTTTTGTAAACTGGCTGAAAAAAAGAGGAATGAGCAATCTGGAGATTAAGAAATGAGTTCAGGCGCTTTAAACAGTATTCTAAAGATATGGAAATTCACATAAGATGGATTAGGGGATCAGCTAATAGCATAGCCGATGATCTAGTTAAGCAAGGAGTTCAAAGGCAATCTATGTTCTGGGCTATATTATAGATAGTGGGATTTCCTTTGGGTCCCTTGGGTCCTTTGGAGCTTGTCTGTAGCTAATGAATTTTCTTTGTTGGGTTAAGCTTGGGTTTGAATTGTATTTAGTGGGGTTTATGTGGACTTATTGTCTACCCACAACTTCTTATTATACACATTCTATTAATTTTAATGAATCTTTTCTTTGTTTCTGATCAAAAAAAAAAATCCTTCTAATGTATGGTTGCATGGAATTTACCAACCATGACATATATGATATATCATGTAGTTTTCTTGCACCCATCAGGCATGGCAAGGATCTATGACCTCTGGTTCTATCACTTATCTTGTAACTACTCCCATCAAGCTCAATTGCAGTGATAAAAATGCTGGGAGTCTCTACAGACCCAATTGGAGCAACCCCAGACTCTAGGCTCTATTTAAGTTCACCCTAGAAGTAGTATTATCACACAATACTAGGCCCCCAATCACAGCTTCACAATACAACCCTGAATTGCCAACCCTGTAGTAGTTTTGGGGCAAAAATGAAATGGGTGTCAACCTAGCAAACAGCTCTATCATCTCCAAATAGGTCATGATATCAATGATGATCAAAAAGAAAGAAAACAAGTCTTGATTGCCAACTCCAGTCAAGACATTAAGCCTCCAATCAGTCTCTGAACTAATTCTCTAGATTTCTATTGGTTTTTAGGCACCTTCTCTAGAAACTCCTTCTAGGCATCAGATCTCTCCATATTTTCACCAAAAAAAAAAAAAAAATTCACCAAACCAGGCATTCAAGGCTGAACTGATCATCAACTCAAAATCCTATACTCATTGCTGATTCTAGTGGTGCATGGATGTAGACAATGTGCATAGAGAAGAAAGAAAGATCTGCTTAACTTGGAAATTGGAACACCAATGGTTCTGTTTATTTTGTGTTAATAAAATAAGAATAAATCAGATCTGTGTAGAGAGAAGAGGAGAGAAAGACAGGCTAAACAAATCCTGGGGTCTATTGATGGTATTGGGCCATTATTTGGCTGGAAAGCATGAGAACACAGGTTCAAGTCTGAGGGTAGCCACATTGTGTGGGGAAAGAAAAAGGCCAAAGCCAAAGTTAGGACCAAACTCTACCCCCCCCCCCCAAAACCCAGGATAGATAGGACCGGCCTTTTAGCCCGATAATAAATAAGAAACAAGATAGCCTGATATCTCAACACAAACAAATATACAACAACCCAAAAGTACCAAAAAAACAAACTAAAACATAATGACAATGATATTAGGCATGGAATGAACCTTAGGGATTTTGAAGTTTTGCTATACATACATACATTGTATCATGTATATAGGCACGGTATATTACAACATGGTCACAAAGAGCAAATTATTGCCTAGATGGCTCGATGGCAGTTCATCATTTAGGCGAGCAATTAGAAAGCAGGATTCTTTTTTTGATGGGTAATCCTTCTTCCAAATCTTTACAAGCTCCAAAATGGACCACTCTAATCGACAAAAAATTTACCAAGAGAACATCACAAGATTCTAGAGCATCTATCGAAAGATACATGCTTTAGGTAAGAAAAGTTGGTTTTCTACAAGAAGGCAACTGACAAAGAAAAGAAAAAACAAAGTTGACATTTTTATCCTCTTTTTTTACACATTGTTATGTCTTGACTTACTATTACCCAAAGATAAGCACCAATGAGCAATATATACCAAATAAACTCAATGAAAGCTTGCACATCCTTTTTCATACACCTGCAGCAATTGAGGTAGAGACTTGCCTAATATCAACTACACTGAAAGTGACTTACAAAAATCCAACTTCTTATCTGTTACTGTCATTTACGAAATGGTATCAAAGTTGGTATTTTGATGGATAAGTTTGAGTAATCCAGGATTTGCAGGAGTAGGGGGTGTCTTCAGAAACCATGAAGATGAAAGTTTAACAATTTATTCAGGACCCATATATCAAGGTAACTCGACCAAGGCAGAATTGATGTTTGATGGCATTAGTGTGTGGGTTGAAATTAGGGAAGACACTGAACTATAAAAATCTTTTGGTGCAAGGTGACTCTTGGACAATCATTGGGTGGATGACTAGCAACAGAAAAGGATGATGGTTCTATAGGAACCCCATTAGAGAGACAACATGTTTAGAAATGCAGCTGAGAGCTACACTCAGCTGGACAAGAACAGTAAATGGGATGGCAGATGCATTGGCAAAACAAGGGGCCAACAGGATCCAAATGTTTTGGGGATCCACTGATTGGGAACTTGTGAACTCTGTATCCTAACTAAAGGAAAAGGATTTGGGGTTTGGGAGTTTAGCTCCCTTATGTAAGTATAGAGTGCCTTGGCACAATCAATGCTGTAAATAGTATCATTCTTTATCCACAACTAATAAAATTTTCAAGTTATCCATCAAAAAAATTAGCATCACTCACCGTAAGTGCATGTTTTATTTGAGAAGAGTCGGGTATAAACCTAAAGGCAACACCATCAACCTTCAGCTGGAAAACCTGCATCACCCATAAATTTTTAGACTATATTCACAAACATTAAACCTCTGTCTTTATTCTTTCATCATCCACTACTTATCCAATCAAATAATGCAGAAATTAAAAATCAAACAAATAACCAAGTAATAAGGTTATATTGCAGTCAATCAATCATGCAGTACAATAAAACATTGCAATATCAGGCAAATAGTGCAATACTATATTAATGGTGATGGAAAACATTGTGACATCATTGCAGACGATTCAGTACAAAATACTTTATCAAAATTTCAATTCAAACACAAATATACGCACCAAAAATGTTGCGAAATTTGAAATGAAAAATAGAACAGAAAAAAGTCTGTACTTTACTTTGTTCAGAGCGACGGCGACAACTTTAGAACCACGGCGCATGCCAGGGTCCATAGACCTCATTTGCTCCAAAAGCGCTTCAGCATCCTCCCTCTTGAAGCAAAAAAGTCCAAGAGATTTCCCTGTCTTAACGCCCGAAACCAATACGAATTCTTCGGCGGAGTTGCTGAGAGCATAGACAGGCACGCCGGCTAGACGCTCTTCAATAGCTTCAGTCGACATGGCAAGGTCAAAACGATGAACTGGCTCGTTGAGGGTCTCAATCTGTGCAGATACCCGAGCCCAAACCGGATTTCTGCTAGAAGAAGAAGCAGAGCCAAATCCAGAAATGCCTTTGCAGAACGCCCGTTTGGCTTGGTTTCCGAGATTCTCTAAAGCAAATTCGAAATGGGTTTTCAGGGCAGATGGGTTAGGATTCAAGAAAGAAAGGTTAGGCTGTTTCTGTTGTTTTTGATGTTGAAGAGAGTTTGAGATGTTCTGTAGAAAATCAGAGAAGTTGTTTTGAATGCTAAAGAAGGCTTGTTGGAGACAGGGCTTTGGAGCTGATGAATCCTCTGATTTATAGAACCTGGGAAACTGCATTTTCTCATAAACTATAAAGACAATGTGAGAACTTGGTTTGGTTTTCCCTCCACTCTACCTTGGAGCTGGAATTTGAGAAGAAGCGAGAAGGATTTCGGAACAGTGGGGGAGAACGTCCCCTCCCGTACTTTTGAATAAAATAGAAAAATAGCACTGGGAGACCCCAGTAATGGTCTATAAACGACTATAATATCCTGTCAACTGGTCGACTGGTTGACACTTCGACAGGGAACGGAAGATGGCAATAGTGAATATATGGGCTCTGAGACCAAAGCCAAGTGAGTTGAACGATTTTATCCATGAAAGCTGAGAAACCCAATTTACGGATAAAAAGTTTGGGTAAATTACAAAGACCCCCCAAGTATTATGGGTCTGTGACAAAGACGCCTGTACTTTGTTTTGCAACAAACACCCCCTTTGTATTTGTACTATGACTGTGAGACAAAGACCCATTTCCGTTCAAAAAAACTGTTATAATATTTTTTAATTCCCATATTACCCTCGGATGAAAAAACAGTTCATTTTCCTCGACCTCATACACTAACAATAGCAGCACTAATCTCATCTACCTCAGATTTTTTCAAATTTCTCTCTCCCTTTCTTCTCTCTCTCAGATTTTTTCAAATCCAGAGTGCTATGTTCATGATACACTAACAGATCTGGAGGATAAAAATCCAAAGTGCACTGGCGTGAATCCTACGGGGATCGCGTTCTATAACAGTATCATAGACAAGCTGCACCTTCTTCATATGCATTGATGAGAGCGAATTCGGCCCTCCAATGACATTGTGACACATGGCACCTCAAAACAACTAGGTGACACCCGGAACCACTCAGGCAATAACTTGCCAAGTTGATGGTGTCCAACCTGGCGGCCTGGCCCAGGCGCCGACCTAGCACATGCGCCGATTTGGCGACCTGCGAAACGTGCTCGCCAACAAATTCGGCATGCATACCCCACGATCCTTGGGATGGTCAATGTGCATGGCAGTTACCTCCGAGGATCTCGGACCAGTTAGACACGACCTCCCGGAGATCTCGGGGGCGGTACGTGAGCAAGGCCTATATAAAGGCACCAACCCCAATGGCATAGGGTGAGCAAGCAAGCAAGTAAGCAAGTTATAGCTCTCAGACTTTGTGATTTTTAGCTCGCAGTCTACTATGAGAGTACTGACTTAAGCATCGGAGCGACCTCGCCGAGTTAGCCACACCAGGTCCTCTGACATTTGGTTCCTTGCAAGTCTCTAAAGAGCAATGAAACTCATCAATCCAGCTTGCCACAGGCAGCTCGGCTCTATAGTCAGCTTGCCACCTAGCCTGCCCAGCTCGATTCAACTCGGCAGCCAAAGTTCTCCACTTCGGCCTAAGTCATCGGCCACTTGGAAGCAGACCAAATGATGAGGTACTTAGCCAAAAAACCGATTCATCAATTAGCGTCGTCTGTGGGAAACGCTRCAAAAAKATAAGTTCACATCCTCTAAAAGGCTAAATCCTCTTTTTCTAGAAAGCTAAGTCCTCACTTTTTAGAAACTAAAGCTCTTGCTTTATAGGTTCCATTTTTTATGAACTCAAAAACTATGCAGGAAGTTGATAGCTAACAGATTAAGCAGCTCTACCAATTTTATTTCAACTTGGATAAAGCCTCATCAGTCCTCTTCGTGAGGTACCCCCTCTACAAAGATGAGCTCTTCGTGGCTTCCGCAGGAGTTGGCGGCCAACAGACTGCATGGACGCCCTTGCTGGTCGAGCCTTCCAAGGCTCCCGTGAGAGTTGGCAACCTAAAGTCARTAGTGTCGCCCCTGTAGTTTGAGCTCCTAGTAGTTTCTTGTAGGAGTGGGTGACCGGCGTCATGAGGCTGATGCAGTGCAGCCATAGCACTAAAGTACCGAATTGGCGAAGACCTTGGTACCATATAAGACCCAGTCGCCTCTTCGGCATGGGCAAGATCAAGGAGAGTGGACTACGAGCCGCTCCTAGAGCCTAAGGGCCAAAATACCGAATTAGCGAAGACCTCCTCACCACATAAGACCCAGTCGCCTCTTCGGCATGGGCAAAACCAAGGAGCGGACTGTGAGTCGCTCCTAGAGCCTTAGGAACTGAACCGACGCTTACKTGCTCATCGAATTTTCCATTCTAGGCCAAAAGGAGAAATCTACTCCCTTTGCCGAGTTACTTTCAGCTCGGGAGTGGGGGGCAAATGATGAGGGTGGATTCGGCCCTCCAATGACATTGTGACACATGGCACCTCAGAACAACTAGGTGACACCCGGAACCACTCAGGCAACAACTTGCCAAGTTGATGGTGTCCAACCTGGCGGCCTGGCCTAGGTGCCGACCTGGCACATGCATTGATCTGGCGACCAGCGAGACGTGCTCGCCGACAAATTCGGCATACATACCCCACGATCCTTGGAGGTTGGCCCTCATTCCGAAAGATGGTCAACGTGCATGGTAGTTACCACTAAGGATCTCGGACCAGTTAGACACGACCTCCCGAAGATCTCGGGGGCAGAATGTGAGCAAGGCCTATATAAAGGCACCAACTCCAATGGCATAGGRCGAGCAAGCAAGCAAGTAAGCAAGTTCTAGCTCTCAGACTTTGTGATTTTTAGCTTGCAGTCTACTATGAGAGTACTGACTTAAGCATCAGAGCGACCTCGTCAGGTTAGCCACCACGGGTCCTCTGACATTTGGTTCCTTGCAGGTCTCTAAAGAGCAACGAAACTCATAAATCCAGCTCGCCACAGGCAGCTCGACACCTGGTCAGCCCGGCACCTCACAGGCAGCTCGACACCTCATAGTCAGCTCGCCACCTAGCCTGCCCAGCTCGATTCAACTCGATAGCCAAAGTTCTCCACTTTGGCCTGAGTCATTGGCCACTTGGAAGCAGACGAAATGACGAGGTACTTAGCCAAAAAATCGATACATCAACAAAAAAATTGATTCATCATGCACCTTCTTCATAAATGATAAATCCCATTTAACTAAGCTGCTAGTATGTTGTAGGAGGGAGGTTTGGGAACATTAATCCTAGAAGGATCGCGTTCTATAACAGTATCATAAACAATCTCCTACTAAGAGGTGAGTCAGAGACTTGGAATTTAATTCTAACAAAATCTACTCTCATAGACCTCAAGACTAGAATTCTAACAGTATGATAGACAATCTCCTAGACTCCTGTGTTCCTCTTATCGTATGTAACAAATTTAGGCTTGTGTCGGCAAGGATCGAACCRTTTGTGACCTTGTATCATCACGACCTATCACAAGAACTAGAGGACAGATATGGGGGATGGCTGAGCCCTCTAATACAGTAAGCTCATGAACATTTGTTTGTCTAATTATCTGAATCTTTTTTAGATTTTATGAATTATAAAACACAAATTTCTGGGGAAGTTTGTGTTTGTATCTCACTGTCACAAATGTTGTGATGAAATCATGAAGAGAGCTTAACTGGAAATAGAAARTGGGATTTTGATTTTGTTGGGCAGGGAAGATTTTGTGTATTTTGCGGAAATCTGTTTTAGGAGCTTCGAGGATCGGGTGAAGTTGTGGAGTAGCTTGAATGAGCCCAACGCATATGATGTTTATGTGTATCTCAGGGGAGTGTATCCACCAGGCCATTGTTCGAGATTGAACTTGTGATTGTACTTCACAATATGGTGTTGTCCCATGCCAAGGCCGCTAATTTGTACCGGATTTTTATCCTAAAGATCTGTTAGTGTATCATGAACAGTGCACTCTGGATTTGAAAAAATCTTGGAGAGAGAATTTTGAAAAAAAATCAGAGGTAGATGAGATTAGTGCTGCTACTGTTAGTGTATGAGGTGGGGGAAGATGAATAGTATTTTTTCGTTTGAGGGTAATATAGGGATTAAAAAATATTGTAACGGTCTTTTTGGATGAAAGGCTAATGGAAGGAGGTCTTTGTCCCACGATCATAGTACAAGGGTGGTATTTGTTGCAAAACAAAGTACAGGGCGGTCTTTATCACAGACCCCATAGTACAAGGGGTCTTTATAATTTACCAAAAAAATTCCAATAATGGAAATAAGTTCTTATTTTGATGATTACATCATTCATTGTTGCACTTTCTGAACCGGCTAAAATGAAATATTAGATATTAGTGGGAATACGTGCGATGCACAGTTTTTGTTAAGCAATACTGAGCGCATAACATTTTCATTTTGAGGTTTATCGCAATTGGCATAATCAAGTTTTTAATTTTGTTAAGGACAACTTTCCTAAATTATTCTTATTATTTAGATAATTGACAATTCCACCCTTACCATTCATATATTGTCTTAAAGTACCCCTAGTGTTTCGGGTAATTGTCATCATCGTTAAATGTTAATGGAAAAAATGAAATGTTAAGTTTGCCCTTTATTTTGGTTCAAATTTTCAAAATAAAACCCAATTGATGGTTTTCACCAAAAGATTAGGGGTGCAAATGGATCGGACCATGATCCAATCTAATCCGAGATCAGATCCTATTTGGTCAAATTCGGATCGCCCTCTGTTTGGATCTCGGGTCAGGTAATAGGATCTGCTCATAATCTGATTAGACTCGGATCACCCATATCCGATCTTATATATATTATTTATAAATATATATATATATAATACATATATATATATGTTATTTATTTATTTATAAATATATTTTTATAAATTTGTTATATTATTTATTTTTTATAAAAAACTTGTATATACATGATGAAAATAATTAAAAAATACTTGTATTTCTTGTTTTTATTTTATTTAAATTAGTATATTTTATTTGTCTTTTAATAATTTATTAATTTTTAAAGAAAACAAGTCAGATCGGATTAGATTCAAAGATCCGACTTACCGATATRATTCAAATTCAAATTGAGTCCTATTTGATCCAATCGSATCGTATCCAACATGAACAATGTTGGATTGGATTAGAATCCGATCTGATCTGTTTGCATCCCTACCACAGACGATCCTAGGGAGACATCAGAAAAGAAAATTGAGAGATAAATTAAAAGAAAATACTAGAAAGAACTAGATTTCAACTGATCCTAAACCATTTCATGATCAAAGCTTGCCTGAGCATTGTCCTTTAGCTTTGGTTTTGGAGTCTCCTCACTTCTCTCCAAGTTATGGGAACTCTGTGTCAATCTAGTCGGAGAAATTGCTGATGAATTCTAAAAGACAACTAGTCTAGAAGGAGTTATAAGTTTGGGTGGCCTACTGAA